ATTACCGACCATGTGCTAACATTTTGAACACTATATTCAGTCTGGACCGTAAGTATTTCGCTATTTGTTTGTTTACGTTAGCATAGATACTTTAACAAAATCGGGATTATCTCAGCTTCGTTGTGTGAAATTGCGTAAATCTCCAAAAGTGAGTCATTTTCATTTTACTGCTACGGGTCACAGATTGTGATTAGATTAAGGTGTTTGGTACCATTGTAAAGGTAAAATGTTTGTAGTTCTTGTAGTATTCACTACATGTCAATCTGATCATATACTGTACGCACTCTCAACGAGCTTTGAAAAGTATTAAAATTTGCTAAAATGTCTGGCGGTTGCTGATACTACTTTTTCAAACCCCTTGCGGTCAGAGTGTTAATTATCAACTATTGGGAAATATTTGTATTATAGAAGAAATACAATGCTGTCATTTTTATTCCATTTATGATCCACAAAGACACTTTTAAACAAATGTTGATGTTCTTTATGTCCAGGTTGTGCTGCTTGATCTGGAGGTGTTGTCTGAGGTGGCATCCTCACCAGCAGGGCCTCAATCTGAGGAGGGGCTCCAGTATCGGCCTGTGCCGGGTACCAATATCTACTTTACAAAGTTTATGATCAATTTGCTCGATCTCTTCTGTAAAGACTCTCAACTCTTAGAAGATAGAGGCTTTTTTATTATAAGGTAAGAATAATTAATAATATTCAGGTTTTATAACTTAAAGCACCTTCCAAAGATAAGTGTCATGGTCTTTTTTCAAGCCTTTTGGTGTAGTCGTTGCAGTTCAGTTTCGTTTATTTAATAGGATTTATATACTGCACAATTATCCTGAAAACCTCTCAAGGTGCTTTTTTTTCTCTTCATTGGATACGGAGACAATCGTACCTAGTTACAGTATGCGCATAATCAGCACTCCCGAAATTTCATTCTGAATCATTCACCTCCTACCGTTGCAGTTTAGTTTTGTTTGTTTATTTAATAGGATTTATATAGCACACAATTATGCAGAAAACCTCTCAAGGTGCTTTTTTCGTCTTCATTGGATACGGAGAAAATCATACCTCCTTTGCTCCATTGCGAGTATTCCTAGTTACGGTATGCATGTAATCAGCACTCCAAATTTCATTCTGAATCATTCACTTTCTACCAGGTACCCATAAATACTCCTGCGTAAAGAGAGGCAGATGCAGATAAAGTGTCTTGCCCAAGGACACAAGCAGTGTGACAGGCATTAGTCTCGAACCCCTGACCTTCCAATTGAAAGCCCATCGCCTTACATGCTGTGCCAGTTGCTTCTACACCATGAGGTCAAGTGTTTAGTCCCTCACTGTGCATTTTGCTTATTTCCTTGGGCAGTTGTTTCTCTTCAACGATGAGTACAAGTCAGTACCTTGTAGGTTAAAACAAAATGGGCCGATTGCCAGCTGCAGCATTATGGAATTCTGCCAGAGAGCTGAGTATGTGTTCCACACATGTTTGACCAGCAAAACACAATAGCACAATAAAGAAAAGATGATAATAATAAAAAATATAAGAATTTACACTGCACTTTTTGCCATGGGATACAAGGAGCTGGCAATGTTGTTATTACCCCTGATCATTGGATCCATAAGTTAGCAAACCATGGGCATACTTAGCTGCAATTTAATTTGCACTGACTAATATTTCTAAAATACACAACATACGCTCCACCTATTTAGTCTCCTGTTTGGAGAGAGATAGGCAACGGTGGGTTGTTTGCCCAAGGACACAACCAAAGGATTGAACCCCAGATTCAGTGGTTGAGAGCTCAAAATTTGTGTGACAACTGATTCCACATTGAGTGGTTGAAATGGTAAAAAATATATTATATTTTTGTATATTCAACTGTATTCTAATTTTATTGCAGGCAATTATGTTTATTGTTGAAATTAGAAGATGTTTATCGGACACTGTCGGAAATTTTGTTGCACAAAGAAGATTTGAAATTTGCTACAAACATGGTGCAGACGCTGAACACAATACTTCTCACCTCCACTGAATTATTTGAATTGAGAAACCAGTTGAAGGACTTGAAGACAAAGGTGAGAGGTCGATAACAGGAAAAATCAATTAAGCAGATGCTCCAACATTTATTATAAAAAGAGGTTATATTTATGATTCATCATCATCATTATTATTATTATTATTATTATTACTATTATTATTATTATTATTATTATTTATTATTATTATTATTGTTATTATTGTTATTATTACTACTACTACTACTACTTCTCAATTTAACATCACACCTTTATTAGGGACCACCTCTAATTATGGACCAGTAAAGTCAGGTCCTGATAAACGAGGGGTCAGTGGAATACAGTGCTAACCCACACCTGGTTGATTTTGGGATAACTTTGAAAAAATCCCAAGTTAAAAAAAAAAAAATCCAATGCAAGTTTTTTTTTTGACACCTAACTTTGTGAGAGTATAGGAATAATAATGAAAAAATCCTAAGTTAAAAAAAAAAAAATCCAATGCAAGTTTTTTTTTTGACACCTAACTTTGTGAGAGTATAGGAATAATAATAATAATAATAATAATAATAATAATAATAATAATAATAATAATAAAAATAATAATAATAATTCTTTATTAGTCCTCATTCTAATAGGAATTTGGAAATTTGGGCTGGCCCCCTAGGGACCTGCAGCAGCCTCGGTGCAGCACCTCCCAACTTAACTACAACATAACGAACACATACAGATACAAACATTGTCCTTAACCCACCTAACTCTCAATATGAGGGTTATTCGAGGAGCCAAGCAGACTCCAATTATAACCTGACGCTGGCCGGGTTAGAAACGGGTTCTTCAGGACAAGAAGCAAGACCAGTACCTCTCAGGCAACCGCTCAACTCAGAATATGGGATAAACATTATGTTTGCTCCATGTAACAACTGTAATTTTTTACAAAAGTGCGAGTTAGCACTCTTTTGCAACAACTCCCTTAAATGGTGCTCTACACTTAAACATTGCCATCACCTCAAATTAAGGACAAAAAACAAATATGGGTCCCATCATAGTGGCTGCATTGTGTTGATATTATCGTCATCACCATTATTATTACTTCCTTGTAATATCATACCAACACAAATTTTAATATTTACTACCATAATCAGCATATTTTATGCAAATTTTATTTTCTTGTAGGAAATCTGCTCATTATTTTGTTGCTTATACAAAACGTGGTGCCACAATCCTGTTGCTACTGTGTCTCTGTGTTTCCTGACCCAAAACTACAAACATGCCTGTGATATCATCTTTCACTTGTATCCTTCGACCTGACATACAGTATTTTTATTTCATAATTTTAATGATTTTATAGAGAAAAATTGTAATTAAAAGTAAAATCAAATCCTACCCCACCTATTTCATTTTTCGTATTATAGCCTACCTCATACCCTATAGTATAACCTACCTTTATATCCCATTTTATATCCTACGTTATAGCCTATATTTATGCATTGCCTTGTAATAAATCTCTTGAGTTTTCAATGTTGAATTTCTTAACATTATTCAACAGTGGTGAGTTGGAGGTGACAGTGGATTTCTTAACTGAGATAGATAAACTGATTCAGCTTTTAGAATCTCCTATTTTTACCTGTAAGTATAGCCAAATATATTTTACTTATTAATTTGTTTATGTGTCTGTTTACCAGCAAATCAGCATACTTTGACCAGTTTCAGGTTTTTGGAGTTTTTAGGAGAAAAATACTGAAGAACAATTCTGCCAAATATCAATTTCTAAAATCTAACAAAAAAAATAGAAAGATAAAAAATAATATAATATAAATAAGGTAATAAAAAAAAATTTAGAAATAAATTTAAATGCACACCTCAATATTAGACTACTGACTAAGGAATCTTTGGGTTTCTGTTTCTCAAAACCTAATTGGCTGACATCCAATGAATTAAACATGTAACTTCATAGTGCTAATACTCACCCAATTCTAATCATATGAACCTGAAAAGTCATCTGGAACATTGAATGAATAAAGTGAATGTTATTTTGTTAATTAAAGAAGTTGGAAGGATTGTGAAAGTGTTAAAACTATTCCTTTTCAGGATATGATTATTATTTTTGTTGATTGACAGATCTGAGGCTACAACTCTTAGATGGGGAACATAACCAATACTTAATGAAGAGTTTGTATGGACTTCTGATGCTGCTTCCACAGAGCACAGCGTTTAGTGTGCTCCGACACCGGTTGGACTGCATTCCAAGCAGGGACTGTTTACCCAGTGACAATAACAAGTTAGTTTTGTATTTATTTATTTTTTTTTAAATTCATCTTTAGTTACTTATTATCTAGTTGATATTTAAATAATTTAAATTGGTAGTGAAACTAATAATCCTGATAAGGGCGTAATGTAGGATCAATAGGGTGTAGGTCTGTCAGGATTGGATCCAGGCCATCCCCCAACCCAGGTCTACAAAGTTGCTGTACATGTGAATCATGGTAAAATGAAATTTTGCATACTAACATCAATTATGATTGATATTATAAAAAATGTTCCAATTAGCACTGCATTGCTTGGGAGCTTCATTGCAGTGCTTATTCCAGATAATTGTTATGCTAAGATTATACCTTGGGCCTATATGACTAGTTGCATTAATACTCTACAAAATACAGTATTTGAGAGCAGTGTTTGGCATGAAATTTTATGTCAAACTTATTCTAGAGTGGCACTTATTTAAGAGCACCGCTTATTTGAAAAAGGTGCTTTAATGAAACTAGATAATAATTTATATAATAATTATTAGTTACTGTACAGAAAAAATTATGTGAGATTCAAGAAAAGTAAGACTTGCATTGGTGCAGATATTCACTTCATCCACTCCCCAAAAAAGAACATCTCAAATTGTTTATAATATCATACAGGATGTCTGAAGACCAAAAAGCATTTAAAACATGCTGTAATGGGCCTAACTCATTATTTGTATCCACACAGAAAGGTGCGTAATTACCCGGAGAAGAAGGTGAACTACAGACAGTCGATTGATTTTGACGAGCTTCTACAACATTTCAAAATAATTCGTGAAAAGCACTCTCTAGCAAAACAAACAGGAAGCAAATCCTTATCCCAGAAAATGAAGAATGCTCACATATAGGACAGTTGACATAGTTCAAAGGTTAACAATATATTATCTTGCTGAGGTCATGGAGTGCAAAAAAGTTAAAAGTATTGTATCTGGTCTGGCAGAGGTCATGTTGTGTATATGTTAAAAGTATGCAATCTGTGAGTGAGTTTATGGAGTGCAAAGTTTAAAAGGTATACAATCTGGCTGAAGTTTTAAAGTGCAAAAGGTTAAATGTACACTGTGGCTCATGTCATGGAGTGCAAGGGTATGTTTTAATCTAAGTGTTTGATTCTAATTGTATAGTGGGTGTGTGTGGGTGGGTGTGTTTTGTTTTGGGTGTGGGGGGAGGGGTGGTTTGGTTGGGTGTTTTCTTTTGTTTTTTTTTTGTGACTTAATCCAGTCTGCCTCTCAGTGCCAATTTTATTGTGTGTGCTTCGATTCTATTCTTGATTTTTATACCACTCATTAGAGCAAGTGTTTTGATGGTATCGTGTTTGACGACAAAACATTTGGTATCAGAGGCTTCATTTCTCACATTATTTTTCTGTAATCAGTGGTATATTGAGGAGAAAGTTTGGGAAACTAAAATACAAACTTTAAGCAGAGTGTGCTTACTGTATCATTGATGCTCTCGTTTTAATAATAAATTTGTTTATATGAAAACAAAATAAACAAGATAATCTGAGATTACAAACCCTCACCCTGTTGCGCCATGTTTATGTACTGATAAAAAAAATAGTGGCCTGCAGTCGATCCGCTCCATTTGCCAAACGAAGCCTAGCATTATAGGCCTCGAGTGGCAAGCCCATCAATCAGACGAGTTTGCACGCTGTCCGGACTGCTTCTAGTTCGCCGGCCAGAATTTGACATTCTCAATCGAAGTTTCCCTAATATGAGCTGCCTAGTTTGTGTAACTACTGAACTACATTAGACAACTGTGGAAGTCTTGTATTCCAGTCCCAAAATTGTCAGTATGTGTAGTATGTGTGTTTAAGTACTCTACAGAATTTACAGTAACATTTTTTTAATTAGCTTTCCCAAAAAATCGAACCTCCGGGGAGGCTATTGTTCTTGCCTATGTTCTTCTTCATGCTGTTGTCGTTGTCATCGTCGTCGTTGTTGGGTAAATTGTTTGTTAACACGATAACTAAAGTTTGGTAAGTCCGATTGGTTTTAAACTTGGCAGAATGCAAGAAGGCAATAAAAAGAAGGAGCGTATTGTTTTTGGTATATGTGTGTGAATACGTTAATTGCTAATTTGCATAATTAATTTTTCACTAATCAGGTAATTTAGGCTAGTTACCGCAATACTAAAGTTTGGTAATTCAAATTGGTTTCAAACTTGGCAGAATATAAGATAGTAATAAGAAGATGGGGCCTATTGTTTTTGGTACATGTATGAATATGCTAATTATTCATTTGCATAATTAATATATCATTAATTAGGTAATATGATAATTAAATTTGGTAAGTCTTATTGATTTCAAACTTGGTAGATTGCAAGATGGTATTAAGAAGACAGAGAATGTTGTTTTTTTTTTTTACGTGTGCTCATTTGCATAATTAATATTTCACTAATCAGGTAATTTAGGCTAGTTAACACAATCAATAAATAAAAGTTGAAGAAGACAGGGCCTATTTTTGATAATTGCAGTAATCTGGTGATTATGCTAGTTGTGTAATAAATTAATAAGGAAATTTACTATACCATCATAATAATTCCCATTAAAACTTAATTTAGTTGAAATTTTAATATTCTTCATGTTGTTGTCATTGTCAATGGTGTAGAAAATTGTTTGTTACCATGATAACTGAAGTTTAGTAAAACTGATTGGTTTCAAACTACTACTCATCAATTCTTAGAGAAAAATCTCTATGTGGGGAGCCTATGCTTCTACTGCACAACGTAAAAGGAGCATCTCTAGTTAATTATCATTTAGTAATATTCCTTAAAGTAATAATTTTATATTAAATTTTATTTGAATC